GAATTTCTTTAAATGTTAGAGTGCTTCTCAAAGCATTGCTAACATTGTACAGTGCTCATAAATTCTTATGAACATAATTACGAGTCATAGTCGAAATGAAAATTTCTCTCGTCTTAAATCGCGGTGAGGATTATCAACCGATTCATAACATAAAATTTTTTTGACATAAAACTTTTATATAGAATTTTGGAATAATATTATTAATTCCATAAATTCTTCATTATAAAACATGTCATTATTCAGGAAATTCATGATTTAATTATGTAAATTATACTAATTAATATCAGTATTTCTCGGTCATTACATATTATAATACTTTTTTGTGATATTTTAGAATATGATAAAAGTTTTTTTTTTATTTTAAAGAAGGCATAAATAAATAAGTTTCAGATGAGAAATTTTAACATATTAAAAAGAAATCTCAAATACTAAAGGAACTTTATAGACCAACATGAGCCTTTTAAGGAAAGAGAATGTCTTATCTTCAAAGTGTACAAGCTAGGTAATAAAAAGCTATTATTCATCTAATAAGATATTGATAAAACAAAAACAACTAAAACTGCATTAACAATCGTTTTTTTAAAAAATTTGTTTTTGTTGATTTTAGTTATGTTTTTCCATCAAGCTCTAAATTTGTGTAGGTTTTATGATGTTTTTTTATCTTCTATATGCTTTCAGCCAGATGACCCGCTTTGGCGAGTTTAATTTAGAAGAATATCGGCTTTTAGAGATCAGTCTTTGTTGAAAGTTTACTACTATCCTTTTGAGATAGCCAACTGTAGCCGGAGAATTAAAAGAGCTCATAGAAGTGCTTCAAATTGTGTCCATCATCGGACCTCAGATCTCTATATTAGGACGCTAATGGATCTACTGATTTTAGTTTATTGTATCAGATTTTTTGTGTTGAGTTCTTTGTAAGTTTTATGCTTGTTGATTGATGAAATGCTATTTTGCATTTTTTATTTTTCCTGACTTTAAATATGTACTAAAAATTTTCATATTATTTTTTATAATCAAATGATATTTCAGTACATAATAATTCCCGACCTCAGCGAAATTTTTGTCTATGACGCTGCTTCATATAATAGACCAAAGCAACAGACAACTTGGCTACTTCACTAACTATGGTGGGAAATGCATTAATCCTCAAGTCAAATGCCACTAACTATGGTAGGAAATGCACTAGCAGTCTAGCACTATTCATACGCTAAAAATGCGCTTCTAAGTTCTTACTTCCTCCTAGCATTGTCTTCTACTTTTTTCTTTTTGGTTTATTCAGCAAATTGTCCTTAAAATTTACCCTTAATCTCATTTTAGTTTGTGATTTTTCAAATGTTTCACAATTGATTCATGAGGTTTTAATTTTAATTCAATTTCAATTTATGTGTAAATTAGGAACCAAAATTATAAATAGCTAAACTTTGGGGACTATATGTGAAAATTAATTAATTAATTATATTATTTTAGTCCTTAATCTTTATATGTTTCTAATTGTGGTTCTTAATTACTATATATTCTGTCAAATATTTAACACTAAGCTAACAGAATGACCAAAATTAAAACAGAATAAAACCTCAAAGATCTATTGTGAGACGTTTTAAAAGTCATGGACTAAAGTAGAATTGAGGATAAACCTCGAGAATTATTTGTGTGATTAATCCCTGTTTTTACATTTTGCCTTTGTCTAGTAAATAGTTGAAATGAGAGAAGAAAAATGAATACCAACATTTTTTTTTTTATTTTGTGGAAGGTAATACTCACTTGTTTTGCCCCTAAAAGTCCTTAAATCCATAATCCATATCCATATCCATAAGTAATAACTAAGAGAGAATCCCTTTTTGAGCAGCTTTCGTTTTGCCTAGTAAATAGTTGAAATGAGAGAAGAAAAATGAATACCACATTTTTTGTTGAATTTTTGGAAGGTAATACTCACTTGTTTTGCCTCTAAAAGCTTTACATCCATATTATAAATATACGGCCCGTTCATTTCGCTGATTCAAGTTTAGAATTCGAGTTTTGTTACAGTAAAAAGCTCTCACAAACAATCACATTTAACTTTTTTACTACAGTAAAAAGCTCTCACATAAAATCACATCTCAACTCGAATTAAAAACTCGAATCAGCGAACTAAACGGGCCCCAAGAGACCCACACACTTCACTATTTATTGTACAGTACACTGTACACTTTTTTCCCGTTTTGCCCTTGCCCTCTCTTCTGCTTCTTTTGTGTGGGGGCGTTTGTGTGTTTTTCGTCCCATGTGTTGTGACTACGTTTTTGCCTCTGCCTCCTTAGTTTTCTCGTCGCTTTGCTTCTGATGAAGCCATGCACCTCATTTCTTTCTTCGATGGTTTTCCTTGCACTGCCTCTTTCATTTTTTTCTTCGCTAAACTTTTGGCCTCCATTTTTGGCTTCTTTGTTCCTCTCAATTCTTACTTGATCTTAGTCTTTTGACTGTTCTCGGTGCAAGCTTCTTTTGCTTGCTCTTGCTCATTTTCTGTTGTTTTGATTAGGGATTTCGCTTGGGATTTTTGTGCGATTTTGGCGCACTGAGTATTTTGTGTTATATGCTATTTCTCTTCGTTTTTCCTCTCTTCTTCTTCTTTAATTTTTGTGGCCTTTTTTGTTTCTGTTGATTATTTTCTCTTACTCTTCTATTATTTTCATCTGGGATTTTGTACGGCCTTCTTCTCTTTTATTGTCGGGCTCAATATTTTGGGTTATATGCAGATTTTTTAAATAAAAAAGATGCATTCTTCAGTATTTTTATGCTTCCTTAAAATTTGTTGTTGTTTTTTATGTTAGAATTTTTTTCCCTTTTACTGATGACAATCAGATTTTGCACCATTATTTTCTTTCTTCTGACAGCTACTTCATATGTAAATCTCACATTTTTCTCCTTTTTACACATTTCGCTATTTGCTGATTTTGTTCCTGGGTTCTGCCTAAATCGGTTTCCTTTGCATTTAATCACCTACTGATTTGTAGTGATGATCTGTATTACCTACGGTGTTGATTTGTACTTCTATGTTGATGATATGTGTCGTTTTTGTTCCAAAAGCATTAAATGAGTTGGATATTTTTACTCCTTTTATGAACTGGAATTTCTAGAAAATATTTTGGAAAAAAAAATTGTTTTTTTTCCTTTTTTAATTTTTTTTGTCTCCTATCTGGATTGCTTATTGGTTCGGAAAATTTTCTTTTTCCAGTTCTTTCTCACCGACTTTGAACTATTACAGGTGATATTGTCATTGGTTATTTTGCTCTCTATATATATATCGAATCTCGTTGCTGTGTATTAATTGGTTGTGTGAATTGTGTCATCCGTTTTCTTTTACACCTAACATTTTTCCTTTGCCACTCCATCTTTGATTATTTACTGTTGTGTTTGACCTTCCCCTGTACACTGCTTCATCGTTTTACCTCTGTCTCTTTCACTTCTGTTTGGCTAGCTGACATTCCTTATTTAAGGCCGTCCTCACAATATTTCGAGTACTATTAATGACTCTTGTCCATACGTTTTTAATATCTGCTGTTGAGGCTGAGTGTATCAGTTTGTTATATTACTACTGCTTTGTGTCGTTTCTTATAGTAGTGACAACAATTCATTCCTTTTCATTGTCAACAAATTTTACTTGCCCATGTTTGGCCTTTCTATGGTTTTTATTTGTTTTGTAGCAGTATATGTATTTCTTTGTTTTTACTTAACATATTTTATCCTTATAATAGTGACAACAATTCATGTTTTGTGTCGTTTTTACAAAACAACAACATCAACTACAGCCTCAATTCACCCGCAGACACCAGACCAAAAAAATCTGCTGCAAGGTAAAACCTATTTACCAATTTACATTATTTACTAATACAAAAGACAACATTCATCATTTTAAATACATATCTTAACAATCTCTTATCATTTCAGTTCCCAACCAAAAGAAGCAAACACTCCAAAAAAAGCCTAAGAATCAGGTAATATGACTACTTTGAAATCAAAATATTTCAAATTTTCTCAATCGTAAATACTAATTTTTCTCAAAAGTTCTGCTTTGCAGCTAAAAGAAAAAAACCAGAAAAAAAAAAAGCAAGGACAGGACATCAACCACATTGCAAGCAACTTTATACAACAATATTATGCAAACATATATATATATATATATATACATATAAACTAACTATGTACTATAAAAATTGTTACCTCTCAGTGAAATACAAAATTATTGCCCGCGCAGGTAATAACTAAGAGAGAATCCGTTTTCTTAGGAGGTTTCTTTGCTCCCATTTCGTTGTTCTTTGAGCCTTGAGGGTACATTATGAGCATTAGAATAAAAAAAAAGTAATAAACAAAAAAGTAAATAGAACATTTTTATTCCCACAACTCTCTCAAATGTAAGGTTTTAATGCACAATACGGTTTTTTAAAGAAAATTATAGCTGCGGTCACCTAGTAGAAAAAGAGTTTAATGTAGAAAAAAGTAGTCAGATTTAACGAGTAAATATAGGCAATTAATTGCTTGTCAAAAAAAAATATAGGCAATTAATTTAGTTAGTAACGAATATGATATTTAGTAACGTAATTATGATCAATATAAAATTCATTAAAAATTGTTGTTTCTAGCACCAAAAATTCGGTCATTTATTATTGATCCCAAAAAAATGAGTTATTGTTATGGATGTGTGTTTTTTTTTATTTTTGGTTGAGAGTCTCTTTTGATGTAAATGTTATGATGAGAGTCTTGAGACAGAACAGAGAGAATAATGTTTTGATATTCTGAAAAATAATCTAAACAGGAATTACTACACAGTAGAAAGAGGAAATGAGTTTTAACCAAAAAAAACACCCAAATGGCAAGTCCCGACCACCAAACTCAAGAAAACATTATAAAAAAAAAAAAAATAAATAAAATAAATAAATAAAAACCCAGATTTAGAGGATGAGATTTTGTGTGACAAGTGTCATATGCATGGCCTTAGACTAATACTTCAAAAACCAACCCTTTTTACTCCTTCACTCTTCCACTTTCTTCTTCCTCTTCAACTTTCTCTCTTTCTATATCCATCTCCCTCCAAAGCAGTCCTTTTCCTTCTCAACCACATCTTCTCAGGCAAAACCCTTCTTCCTTTGTCCCTTTACACACCATTTCTCTCTCTCTCTCTCTCTCTCTTCATCTTCAAAACTAGAGAGAGAAAGATGTCTAGCTCTGCTGTCATGGCGGTGGCAGAGGTGTCATCACCTTCTAACGCCAAGACCCGCCTTCTTCAGTCGTCTCAGCTCTCATTCTCGTCGACCCATCTTTACTCTCTTCGCCGCTCGGCTTTTCGCCCCATTCCCACCACTCAAAAAGCCAGAATTTCTTGCTCTGTTGCTCCGAAGTAGTAAACTCTCTTTTGATCATTCTTTACATGCTAAAACCAAAACCCGCTAATTTTTTTTTTTTTTTTTCGTTTTATTGAGATTTTGATGCTTTTTTGTTTTTTTTTGTTTTTGTAAATTCTCAGTCAAGTTCAAACTCCGATCCCGGTTCAAGTTGAAGGTCCCAAGACTAAGTCTGAGTGCTATGGCGTGTTCTGCCTTACTTATGATCTCAAAGCTGTAAGTTAGTCTTCTTTACTTTGTGTACATAAAAGCAAAAAACAAATATATATACATATATATATATGTGTGTGTGTGTGTATATAATATCAGTAACCCTTTTGTGTTTTCTATGACTATTATTCTTTTAACTTTTTTTTTTATAAATGATATTGTTTATTATGGCTGTGATATTTTATTCTGTCGTGAGAGTGTATTAATTAATGTTGTCTCGTTTGTGTTTGACAATATGATTAGCTTAATAGATTGCTTATTTTGCAAACTAGCAGAATTGGTTTCTGTTATTCATTTGAATTGCTTTTGTTTTTCTATGTTAATAACTCGTGAACGGGGTAAGAATAACCCCCTTAACCAATACTGGTGCATTTCAAACGTTCGAAACTAATCAGTTTAAGATTTGGCTATCAGTTTGATTTGTGCCCAATGGACCATTTTCACATGGCATTGATTTTAAATACTTCAACTGCTGATCTATGAGATGAGATGGAAAAGATTATTTTCTGATTTATTGGACCATTTTCTTGATTCATTGTTTCTGTTGCAGGGCTGAGCTCCTTCTGATAATTCTCTTTTTAATTTCATATCGATGCATTGTCCGTTCTAGTAATAAAGTTTCTTCAATTTTCTTAGGAGGAAGAGACGAAATCCTGGAAAAAGATGATTAACATTGCAGTCTCCGGTGCAGCAGGAATGATCTCTAATCATCTGCTCTTTAAAGTAAGTGTTCCTAGATCAAACTGACAAATATTTGCTGATGTTGGAACCTCCTAGTTTAGTTTTTCCTTCTGAACAATGTATAATTCTCAGTGTTTTCGGAAGAACTTTCTTGAGAGCCATATTTTGTGGCTTTGACTGAAAGCTCTTCTACAAGGTCAAAACTCTCCTGAAAGGTCATCCAAGCACTCCCTATACATTGGTGTCGATTTGCTTGATTTTCTATTGGGCTATAACGCTATTTTCTTATCACTAAAGCTTGGAACTTACAATCTTGTGAACATGAATATTCTCTTCTAGCAAGTTTCACCAAATTAAGGTCTTCCATCATACTTAGGAACTGCATAATGTCAGTTGATAGGAATTTTTCGAGCATGGATTTTAACTAGTTTTTACATATGGAATCTTGCTTGTTTGTCATGACAGCTTGCATCTGGTGAGGTTTTTGGTCCTGACCAACCTATCGCGTTGAAACTGCTGGGATCTGAGAGATCACTCCAAGCTCTTGAAGGTTTGTTTCTTCATAGTCATTAACTTCACAAGACTTTACTCTGACTTATGTTAGAGTAAACATCTATGGAAATTTATTTGAATTAATTACATTTAACAGTTTTAGAAAAGGGATCTTTTCTATTTGATTAAGAGAATGAAGAACAACCAACATGTCAAGTTCAAAATGGCAACATTTATAATGCACTGTAGATGTGATCGTGTGATGATTTTTTTTGTACAATTCAACTAACTAGAGGACAGAAGCTTAAAGCTGAATTAAATTAATCTCTGTACTTCCCTCCCTAAGTTTCTATTAATGATCAAAGTGTACCAATAAAACTAAGTTGTTCATCATAATACGTTTACTTGCTTCTCTGATTGATAAGAAACTCAATCCATACAGGAGTTGCTATGGAATTGGAGGATTCCTTGTATCCCTTGTTGAGGGAGGTAAGCATAAGCATTGATCCATATGAGGTTTTCCAAGATGCAGAATGGGCTATTCTAATAGGAGCAAAGCCTCGAGGACCTGGAATGGAACGGGCTGATTTATTAGACATAAATGGACAGATCTATGCCGAGCAGGTTTGCATTTTGATATCGCCATGTCTTCTCACTAGTATTGAAAAGATTCATACGCCATTCTTTATGCATTTCTTTGATTGTAACATCACAGGGAAAAGCTCTCAACTCCGTTGCATCACGTGATGTTAAAGTTATTGTGGTTGGCAACCCCTGCAATACCAAGTATGGGAATTTCTTATTTGGGACAGGAGGGGACTTTTTTTTTTTTTGTTTGGGTGTACTTAAACTATGGAGTTCTATGCAATTGATGATTGTGTTTTTGTTGTCATGCAGTGCACTAATTTGTTTGAAAAACGCTCCAAATATACCTGCAAAGAACTTCCATGCCTTGACACGGTTGGATGAAAACCGAGCAAAATGTCAGGTAGAAATTGGTTATGGGCATTACACTTTGATAATATCTAGTTTTGATTTCTATAACACAAAGTTAAAACAAACTTATCCAACGGGTATGATTTTTGCAGCTGGCCCTTAAAGCTGGTGTGTTCTATGATAAAGTGTCTAACGTGACAATCTGGGGAAACCACTCAACAACTCAGGTCATTAAAAGGATTCTATTGTAAGAAGAAAAAGTTATGCGCGGACACAATCCCCTTCAATTTTCACTTAAAAAGACCTCATCTTTTGACCAGGTTCCAGATTTCTTAAATGCTAGGATAGACGGCTTGCCTGTGAAAGAGGTCATCAAGGATCACAAGTGGTTAGAGGAAGAGTTCATGGAAAACGTTCAGAAGGTAAGAACTGCAGAGCATTTAGTTTTAAGAACCAAGTTATTTACATCTTCAACCACTTCAAAATATATTTGATACGCAGAGAGGTGGTGTGCTCATTAAAAAATGGGGAAGATCTTCAGCTGCATCAACTTCCGTGTCAATTGTTGATGCCATAAAATCTCTGATTACTCCAACCCCCGAGGGTGACTGGTTTTCTTCTGGAGTAAGTACAATTTTGTTTCTGTGCATTTGCAGTTAGTAGCCTATATTACAGTTGGTTTCCTGATATAACTGCAACACTCTCGAGCAACAATATGCGCAGAAAATCTTTTTGAAGCCCAACTACCGGAAACCTTTACAGCATAAAAAATAGGGTTTTAGCGCCTTGCCCCTAGAACTTTGACTCAATTAGCAAAATTGAACGTCTAATTGTGGCAAACTACCCCATGAATTTAACAATGTGTTGTTGTATATATCTCCTGAAGCGATTAATGGTACTCAAATTTAGGAAGAAATTTCCTTGTATCCCTGACATTACGTGCTCTGGGTGTCATCGAAAATTTCAATCTAGCTCACATAATGTGCACCAGGGCTTTTCCATCCAAATTTCAAGAGCCGTCCTTTATTTGGGGCATTGTACAATAGTTTCTTAAATTCACGAGGTAGTTTGCCAAAATTAAAAATTTAGAGGATGACTCTCGAATCGTGAAGTTCAGGAAGCAGAGTGCCAAATATCTACAGTTTCCTTTGCAGAGAAAATGAAGGGAAAAAATGGGGAAAGTAGTTGCATGTCTAAAATTATAAAAATTAAACAGGTTCATAGAGAAATTCATCAATGAGTGACATTGTGTTACCTATATGATTGATATCTTTTAATCAAATTGTAGGTTTACACCAATGGAAATCCATATGGTATAGCAGAGGATATAGTTTTTAGTATGCCATGCAGATCAAAGGTAAGCTTGTGTTTGTGATTTTAATTTCTCGTTGTGTGTGCTCTCAACATAATATTTCACGGCTCTATTAAGTTATTTCCATCCTCTAGGGAGATGGTCACTACGAACTTGTAAAGGACGTAATATTTGACGACTACCTCCGCAAGGGAATAGCCAAGGTAAAACTTGCTCAATTAGGCTTTTGAAGAAACATACAATGACAAGACTAAAAATAGTTCAAAGTCATTGGTCACCAAAACAAAAATCACCAATGCTCCCATATCAATAAGGATTATCGTAAACTCTACTTTTAGTCCCAAAAAAAAAAAAAAAAACAAAACAAAAACAAAGTAATATGCTTTTTTAGACTAGAAAATTGTTCTATTTGTTAAACAAAAGAAAGTGTAGTGTCCTTCAAAACATGGATTGCATCACATACTTGACATAAGTCATCTTATGTGACATTGTATTTTTTTTATTTTCCAGACTGAAGCTGAGTTGCTAGCTGAGAAGAGATGTGTGGCTCATCTTACTGGCGAGGTAGATATTAAACTATCGATTAGTTGGCGTAGTTTTGTCAATAAAATTAGTACCTAATATGTTTTTTCTTTTCCTCTTTTTTTTTTTCTTTTTTCTTTTTACCCGTTTTCTGCTCAGGGTATTGGTTACTGTGATCTACCAGAAGATACAATGCTTCCAGGAGAGATGTGATCATAAAACAAGTAACTTAACTCTATCTCAAGGATATTCATACGGAAGCTATGATAATGACCAAATGAGAGAAGAAAATGAATTTACATCTAAACCATCATTTATGTAAAGCTACATATATGCTTTATATGTAGAATAAACATGAAAAGGTTAGCGGTAGATAAAAATGTATCAAATTTTGAGATTATGATGCGTCTCTGTTCTGCAGCTTGTAATATTTATGCTTTGCTTGTTTTCAATTGCTTGTCAATTTATGGTGCAAATGTGGGCAATTGCTGAATAATTGTACTATCTACTGGTGTAAATGATCTTTAAACTCTGGTTTCTGTACAATGATTCTCATTATTGGTCGCTGAGTATTCTTTGATAGGATATGGAAAGATACCCAAGTGGCAGAGCACTGTTTTGAACTGTCATATCTTTTATTAGGTTTTGTCAGTTTTACGCATGTATGAACATACGGAAAAGAACTAACCGAAGAAAGAATGGCACACAGGATTATAGCCAACCTCATTAATGTTTGACTGGACCATTTTTGAAGCTTTGAAGTTAAAAACTTCAACAACAACAACAACAAAAAAAAAAAAAGACCTTTCCGCTGTTGAAGATCGGAGCCTTTTTTTTTTTTCTTTTCCGTTTGATTGATTTCCTTTCTCTGTCGAAGATGGTTTTTTGGTTTGAATAGCAAATAATAATAAAAAAAAAAGCAATCAATAAAATTCCATTTTTATTGGTCCAATCAAATTTATTATAATGACTTGGCAATGAGATGGCAAAGATAGTCGCCAACTGACAGCCTGGAGAAACCACGCTAAATGCCTATACCTTATTTTCTACTGCCAACAGCTGAGATTTTTTTTACACCTAAAAAAAATGAAAATTTCTCCAACAGCTTAAGGATTTTTTACACCTAAAAAAATGAGATGTAGGTTAGGCTTCCTCTCACAAGGAATGTCATTGTATTGTAGGGCTTCAAACAAACAGAATTTAGAACATCTTAATTCATCCTTCTTATAAGTCAAGAGAGAAATTATGTGATCCAGTCTCTACTTATAGTAAGCTTACAATGAGGTAATGTAAGGTACACTAAAAATAAATAAATAGAATAAACAAGGCATTCAGTATAAAACAGCAATGAAACAATAACACACCCTGCATCTATCATGTTTAAGGTTAAAGATCATCAGTTCAAATTAAATGCTTATTGAACCCGCAACTACACGCAATCCTAAAGAGGTCTACTGAGCGGAATCCACTATGAAGTATTCCCGAGGTACTCTGCCAGGGGTGCGCCATTGCCACCGCCTTCTAACTGTTCAAGCACTACCTGGTATATATGTAGTTCCCAACTTTGAAACTCACAGAAATAATCAGCACCCAAATGAACATAAAGAAGAACCACCCTTTTGACACCACGGATCCTGCCTTGCCAGAAAGTATGCCAGCCATTGGCACCACTGTAGCAGAATCAAAGGCAGCCTGTGGCAGGCTGTACGACAGCAAAAGGTTGACATCTCCACTCTTGCCAAAGGACCAGTCCATACCATTCCCATCTAGATTCAGATGTTGTATTCTGATCATCCCAGCAGTGACATGAACTGAACCGGAAGAAGTTCCTACAGAATTCAACCGAAGAGCTGCATCTTTTGTGGGGAACTCTGCTGCAAATGCAGGAGGTGCAGGGATGCTGCCCAACATCTGACTGGCTTGTTTCATGAATGGATATTTAAAATCTGCAATGCGATGAACAAGAAGAATAATAAAAGATCAGAAGGGAAAACAAGATCCTCAAGCATGGTGCAATAGTTCACCTCTTCATATGTCCTTGTAGAAGCGTAATTGTGCAAAAATTACTAGAAAATCAAGCAAGATAAGCTTTACCTGACTCGGACTTTGTGACCTCTGCCCTTTGACTTGAAGTGGAAGCCTCATTGTTATCGTGTGCTTCTGCCGGTTGTTGAGTTCCAGTGGGCGATGCCTCAGCTTCTCCAGTCACGAGCTGACATAGGAAAGGGTTAAATAAAAGAGACCTAAGAAAAAGTTCTAATCATAAGTGCCAGAAAAATCTCGTTTAGCAAAACCCATTTGACTTGTACCTTCTGCAAGGGAGGCTCTTCTTGAGTAAGAGAGTTCTCAATCCCCATAATCTGAGAAGAATCGAAAGCCAACAACTGAGAATCATCTTCCACATCAAAGAAGTTAAGGTACTCATCAAGCAGGCCAAAATCACCAGGATCCTCCTCTACAGGTTTTGAGAGATCATTGGTCTCTAGGTATAAGCCCTCTCCAAATGGAGGAGTGTTAGTAGCATTGAGAAATTGTTCACCAAATGCATAATTGACATCAGCCGGATCCACATTGTCACTTGGTTGAACACAATACTCATCTTTGACAGGTTTCGCATGCATCTCATGTTGCTCTGGTAACCTGAAAAATGGCTGTTCAACACCGATCTCTGAATTTTCCATGCCTATCATTGGCTTCAGATCACCTTCAGAGAAGTCCCCTGAATGCTCAACATAGTTGCTTGTCTCACCATGATAGTAGTTTAGTGGGAGGGGAGCAACTTCTGATGTATCAGGGTCCGCAAAATTCCCAGCATGCTCAACATTGTTACTTGTATCCCCATGATAGAAGGTGAAAGGAACAGCATCAACTTCCAATGGAATGCCAGTACCAAAATTCTGGGAGAACAAAGCATTTGTCTCAAATACTGAGAATCCATGTGATATGCAAATATTAAGAGAAAGAGAAACAAAACAAAAAACAAAAAGGGCACAATGAGGTGAACATACGTAAATCAAGAGTTCCACCACTACAACTACTAAAGAAGATATCTTGTAAAGTGGAGAGGTAAATAACCATCAATAGATCACGATAAATTATGAAGGTATGTTAATAGGAAAATACAAGGCAAAATATGCAGAGTGATCAGTAGAAAATTCAAATGCAAGTGAATGCATAGTTGGAATTTCTGACAGGAAGCAACCTGAATCTATCCAGAGTAATTGTTGAACTAACTTTAAGAGCATTACCGTATGTCTTATTTGTCTAAGATTTATGAGAAGCTCAAAAGCGGTACGCCTGATATTGAGAGTTAAGATAATGTGCTCGCATGTTAATTGAATTAGAAGTTGACACAAAGGTTAATATATTCCCTAAATTTGTGGCAAACAAATACTTGTATTGGGCCTATTATGAAAATGACAAATACGGAATAACCAATTATACTTCTATTCTTGAACCCGCTTTAGGAAAATTTTGTATTGCCGATATTAGAACATCTATATATTACCAAACATGTATGAGAAAACGTTCGATTACGGTTGACACTTTCCATTTAATTTAGCTTTATGTTCAATCAGTAACATTTCTCTTCATTTTCCTCACATCTTTCTCACTAAATACAAGAAAGTAGTAAGACTTCATGACTCTTCCCTCATTCATTTTCCTATAGTATAAGATCTATGTAGCATAAAAGAGTAGGATAAGTACATAATTAAGTAATTAACCATTAATCTCCAGTTCAACGTGTATCAGTGAAAACCACTATGTTATGAGAAAATCACGGAGCTACATTCAACAAGTACAATCAAATGCATAGCATGCTTAGAGGATTTAAATAAGCAGTACAAACTATGCAGTAGTACCACTTTAGAAGTCAATTCATCCCAGACACCCAAAAAAGAAATAAAAAAATAAAATAAACAAAAACCCTATGAATAATAGCAAGCTACAATTACCAGTAGCCAAGTGTTTACCATCTCGGCGGTGAACTATAGTTACAATGAACAATTCCTGTGAGCAGATGATGCGGAATAAGAGAGAGAGAAAAACCAAGTACCTAATAAATTTTACTTGATAAAGTAAGAGGTGAAATTTTCCAAATTGGCATGTGTCTTTTACATGGTATAGAGCTATTGGTTTACATCCACTCCAGATAAGATGCCTTAAATTTTAATTACCTTCCATTTTAATGGGTATTACAATTCTCAAGACAGCAGCAAAAACTTAAGCTGAAAGTAACTATTAATACGGTAAAATCAAAGCGTTCCCTATGGCCTATGTTTTCATTTTATACCGAATTTACCTAAGAAGTTACCTGATCAAGCTCATTCACGTCGACAAAGGCACTGTCATCAACCTCCACTTCACCGGTTGGCGTCTCTTCACCGGGCACCATAGCCACAATCTCGTCATCCTCCCATTCCTCCTCAATAAAAGGGGCTCCATACTGCTCACCGTTCTTGGGTCCAGTACCACTCTTCTGGAATATCCTACAAAGCACAAACGCATCCTTCTCCCAAAAAAAAAAAGACACACACACAACAACATAGACACCAAATTATCACAAAAAACAAAAAAAAAAAACACACAAAAAACAAAAAAAAACAAAAACAAAAACAAACAAACAAACAAACAAAATAGACACCAATCAAAACCAGTCCAACATCGACGAAACCAACAACGTAAACCCGATCCTAACCTGCGCAATTCCGGCCTTCTCAAGCTCCTCATCAGCAAGGCGGTACTCGTGCATGACCCAGTTGGTCCGGGCGCCTTTTGGGGCTCTTCCACTGTGGTAAACTAGGGTCTTCTTCATCCCGACAGTCCGCGAGCTTTGGCGGATCGGTCGGTCCTTTCCAGTGGTCTTCCAGTATCCTTCCACGGTGGCCCGATTGGTCCTCGAGCTATTTCCATACTTCTTATCCAACGCACTGAAGAAGTACCATTCTAAGTCCCTCGTCTTCAGCTTCGACTTATCTAAAACCCCCCATAATTCACCACAAAGATCATAATCAAACAAGAATTCGAATTACAAAAATTCAAAAAAAAAAAACACAGAGAGAGATTATGGATTTACCAGGAAGATCCCAAGGCTCGGACTTGTAGACGTCGACGACGGAAATAGGGTCGATCCGGAGAGGTCTTCCGCAGACCTTGCGCTTGAGATAGTACCGAACGAGCTCCTCATCGGTCGGGTGGAACCGGAATCCAGGAGCGAGCGAGGTCGAAGAATCGCGTCCCATCAAAATTCGGAAACCAGAGAATCGATTACGGATTAGGAATCAAATCGAGGGTTAGAATAACTGAATTATGGATTCGAATCAGAGCAATTCGATCATGAGGGAGAGAGGGAGAGAGGGAGAGAGAGAGAGAGAGAGAGAGAGAGAGAGAGGGAGGTGAGAGAATCTAGGGTTAGGGTTTATGTTTGCTTTCGAAAGGAAAGAGCGGAGACATCGTGCGAGAGAAGAGTCTTCTTTGATTGGAGCCAGAAACCGCGAGCCTTGGGGTTTATATATATTTATACATGATAACAAAAAATAAATACAATTATTATACGTAGACGTTTGGACGAAGTAATTTCAGGGGCTTTTTCGCCGACTTGTAGGTGACACAGTAAAATCTCACCCTCCTTACGTGGCCACTCAAGAACTGGCAGTTCAGTGATGATTTCCGAGCTGTCTGGTGGGACCCATGTAAAGTTGTGACGTGGCAATGCAAAAGTGGGTTACGACGGGCTTATGGTTTGCTCAGCTGCTGACGTAATTGCATCCGTCAAGTTACAAACCGAGAGAAAGAATATTATACCGGTTTATTTCACTTATTTAAATTTAAAATTTGAGTTTATTATAATAAAAAAATTTCTAAAAAATAGTCACATTTAATTTTTTTATTATAATAAAAAATTTTCACATAAAATTACATCTCAACTCAAATTAAAAATTCAAATTAACAAATTAAGGCCTCGTTCACTTCGCTGATTCGAGTTGAAATGTATGTGAGAGCTTTTTACTGTAGCAAAAAAGTTAGATGTGATTGTTTGTGAGAGCTTTTTACTGTAGAAAAATTTGAATTCTAAACTCGAATCAGTGAAGTAAACGGGACCTAAATATGTCCTAATTACCCCATTATACATACTACTAAAAGATGCATCCAGATTACCGAATAGTACCCGGTATATTTAACTTTTACATTTACGAAAATACATGGGTGTCTTTTATTATTTTATTTACCGTTTTACCCTCCGTTATTAATTCTTTCATTGTATTTCCTTTGGGCATTTTTGTAATTTTGACTCAAATTATCTGACTTTTGCTGTTCCTTTTCATGAAGCTTCTGGCTTCATTTCTTTTGGGCTTTTTTTGTGCCTTTTGTTCTCTCTCTCTTTCTTTCCATGAAGCTTATTATGGGCTTCACGTCTTCTTTGCATTTCTCTATTCCCTTTCACTCTCTCCAGCTCTACTGCTTTGTTGCTTCGTTTTGTTTTTGCTCATACGTGTTAATTTCTTATATTGTGGGCCACATATTTATTCAATAATCATATTAAGCTATTTAATTAATTTGGCTAATTAAATGGTCTAATTATGAAAAGCCCAAATAGTCTCTTAACAGGGTATGGATTGAATGGGTGGATACCCATATTGACCCAATTAGGTTTAATGGGAGCCTAATGGGGCATGATATAAAGAAACTTAGGTTATGGTCCCCAATACGTCAAATCATTCAACAGTTTTCATTCTTCCCCATCTAGAGAGAAAACACCACATTCAAGAACTAAGGAGATTTGACTGAGGAATGCAATAACCGTCGTGCTCTTAATCTCAGAGAATATTACTGGAGATTCAAGGCTGCATCATGGAAATAGGTATTTGTTCTAACTTATTTTCTTAGTAATTTGGTGTGATGATTCCTATAATGTGGAATAATGATTCCTGGAATGAGGAATAAGGATTTAAAGATCCAACAAGTGGTATTAGAGCTGTCATCGCATTAAATTATTGAAAGAATTTTCATCTCTAATATCTCCAGTTGAACATTATGTTGATTGATTCATATGATTTTTTTTGTCTATGGAATTTTATATATGCTTTATTTTGTTAAGAAAAGCATGTATATAGATAATCATATGAATTCTTGGTGATTGATTTCGATCAATATTTGTTGAATAATTCTCGGATTAATTGTTATTCACAAAATTGATTATCTGGAAAATTAGGGACTAAGGAAATTTGGTAAAGGAATTTATTAGAGAAGTTTTTTTTTATTTCGGTTGGTTCTGGAAAAAAAAATGTCTTACTTCTTTCTTCTTCTCTTCTTCGGTTGAAGATTGTAGCCGGCGAAAGCACTGAGGAAACTTGGGCGCGGCCATTGGGCAGCGCCGACGGGCAAGCTGCGGCCTATGGCCGCGGCGGGATGAAGACCAGCGGCAACCAAGGCCGCCGCATAAGGAAACAAAAAAAAAATTTAAGGCCGGCAGCAGCGTCTACCGCCGCCAGCACTATGGACGACTGGTCACAGCCCTCTGGCCACGCCGGTGACTGAACAGCTGCGGTGTACCACCACGGCTGCATGCAATGGCTGCGGCCGCCATATCTGGGTAAGGGTCGCCACAGGTAAGAATAACTCTGGGCTTCGGCCCAGAGCTGCAACAAAAAAAAGGGACACGGGCCCATTTTGGGCCCGTGACAGAAAAGGGAAGCACAGGCCCGATTGGGCCTGTGCATTCGAAGTAAGGGCCGCAAGTTATTACCTGCGACCATAAAGAAAAAATAATTTCTAATTTTTGGCAATTTTGGGTTTATTTTAAACCTAATTTTAGAGATTTTGGGAATTTGGGCTAATTATTACCCATTAAGAAATTATGTGCAAATTAATTAAAGATTTAATTGAATAAAATGAAACTCTGGTTCTTTATTTTGTTTTATTTGATTATTATTGCACTTAATTGTCTTGTATTTTGAAATAAATTGATTGAAATAATATTATTGCCAAAGTAACGTCTGTTGTGGATATTAATTTATTTTAGAATATAAAGATGTGTATGCCTGTTATTTATGCGAATAATGATCGGCCCAAAGGAAGGTTATTATTTGGCCAAATAATGAGTATACTTGTGGTAATAAATATGTGACAATTATAAAGTTTTCCATGTGAACAATAGTCGGCCCAAAGGAAGGCAATTGTTTGACAGGATTTATTGTCAATATTTTATTACTGCGCAGAGAGTACCACTTACAAGCTGATATTTCTGGTCCAAAAACTATATCAGTGTTATGCTAGGTAGGGCCGGCAATATGGATCACGACACAACGACACGACTCGAAAACGATACGAATTTTGCGGGTTAGGGTTGAGATAAAAGAGGTTCGTGTCAGAATCGGATCGACCTAAAATTGACATGAAAAACACTGGTCAATTTCGGGTTGGACCCGCCTAACCCAAACACGACACGAAACTCGTAAAAAACTAAAAAAATACATATATTTTTAATTTCAGATTTTAAATTTTATTATGAACTTGTGATATCATGATAGTTATACTCAAAATCTTATATTATTATTTGCCTAATTTGAATGGATGTTATTGTAATTTAGTGTGTTATGAATTTTAAGTTATTTCTAATATGTAAAAAACTAAATAAAAGTATACAATTTTCGTGTCAATTTCAGATTCACAGGTCAATTTCGTGTCACGGGTCATTTTCGAGTCGTGTCGTGTCAACTCCTAAAGTGGTCGTGTCGTGTTCGTGTTGCGGTTTTTAAAAAATTCCGTGTCACGGGTCGTGTTCGGGTTGACTGTAAATTTAAAAAAAAATGATCAAAACACGACACATGACACGAATTGCCACCCCTAGTGCTAGGTATCTTGAAATAGGCCCACCTTGCTTCGAGTTATTTGTTTATGTCATGTATGTATTATATAGTTTGATTATGCTTATGTATGACATGAATGTTGATTATGCTACTGCTATGAATGTTTCTGCTCAAGTTAACGCGATCCCAATGCTGAATGGGACGAATTTTAAAGTTTAGAAAGAGAATGTGGAAATCGTTCTCGGATGTATGGACTTAGACCTTACGCTCAGGACAGAGCGTCCCACTGCAACTATGGAAAATCCGAACACAGATAAAATTGAGAAGTGGGACCGCTCTAACCGCATGAGTCTAATGATCATGAAACGCTCCATTCCGAAGGCGTTTCGGGGCTCTATTACTGAAAGCACTAATGCCAAGAAGTTCCTCAAAGAACTTGATCAATATTTTGCTAAGAATGAAAAGTCAGAAACAAGTAACCTTCTGAATAAACTCATTTCTATGAGGTATAAGGCAAAGGGGAACATAAGGGAGTACATTATGGAGATGTCTAACATCTCTAGGAAACTAAAGGCACTAAAGTTAGAGCTGTCTGAGGATTTACTCGTGCATTTAGTTCTCATATCTCTTCCTGTACAATATGGTCAATTTAAGGTGGGCTATAACATCCAAAAGGAAAAGTGGACTATTAATGAGCTCATATTATATTGTGTGCAAGAAGAGGAAAGGCTTCAACGAGATAAGACAGAAAGTGCTCACTTGGCATTAACGTCTCAGAATAAGAACAAAAAGAGAGCTATGCATACTGCAGATGGAACACCTCAGCAGAAGAAGAAACTAAAGAAGCAGGATAAGGCATTCACCTGTCACTTCTACAAGACGGAAGGACACAAGTAGAGAGAGTGTTCCAAGTACGCTGCTTGGCGTGTAAAGAATGGTAAGCTTCTCGCTTTAGTTTGTTCTAAAGTTAATTTAGCTTATGTACCTAAGGATACTTGGTGGGTAGATTCTGGTACTACTACTCACATAAGTATGTCTATGCAAGGTTGCCTGTGGAGCCGACCACCAAATGATGCTGAAAGTTCATCTTCGTGGGCGATGGCAAGAAAGTTCCAGTTAAAGCTATCAGAACATTTAGATTATTGTTAAAGACTGGTGTCTATTTGAATTTGATTGAGACTTTTGTTGCACCGTCATTTAGATGGAATTTAATTTTTATTTCTAGTTTGGACAAATCCAGTTATTCTTGTTCCTTCAGAAATAATAAAGTTAGTCTTTCTCATAATTCAAATGTTGTTGGTACTGGTTCCTTAATTGATAATCTTTATATGCTTGATACTGTTACTTCTGATAATGAAATTTTACACACTAGTGCACGAGGTACAAAGTAAAAATTAAATGAGAATTCTGCCACCTTATGGCACAAGCGTTTAGGTCATATCTCTAAACAGCGAATTCAGAAGTTTGTGAGTGATGGAATTCTTGGTCCCCTAGATTTGACAGACTTTCAAGTCTGTGTTGAGTACATCAAGGGGAAACAGACAAACACAAGAAAATTAGGTGTCGATAGGGCTACAAACATCTTAGAACTTATT